ATATAAGATTTCTGTCCTCATGGAATTTATAGTCTAGGAAACACAGATGATCAAATAATTTATTTACAACTATAGTTCACCAGGCATAAGCGAGGGAGGTACACAGAACTATGAGAGCCTTTGATAGGTGGGTTCGACTTGTCAGAAGAAGCAATGCTTGAGTTGAGTAGGAGTTTAGGCAAAGAGAGTAGGGAAGAGTGCTCTAGGCACAGGAGAAAGCGTGTGCAAGGGTCCTGTGGCAGAAAAAAAAGTATAGTGAATATGAAAACCTGGAAGACCAGAAAGGGGGGAGCAGAGAGAGCAAAAGGGAGTGTGGGGTGAGACAGCTGGGAAAATAAGAAGAGAAGACCATGTGGAATCTTGAAGAATATGCACAGAATTTTGGCTGGGTCCTAAGAGTAAACATGACGCTATGGAACAGTTTTAAGCAGGGAAGTGACAGGATCCCATTTGGGAAGGCAGAGGGCAGGACAATCTTCTGATTGTCGGGATTTGTGTAAAGCCCTATGGAGAACACCCCCAGCAGGATCTCAGCCTGAACTCCCCAGAAAAATGAGACAACTTTCCATCTGCCAATAGTCAGTCCTTCCTCTGCACTAAATTGTCGTGGATGCAAGCACTGAGTCTGGCTCCAGAGGGACTGACCAGCGGCCCCTAAGGAATTGTAACCATTGGAATACATTTCACTTGCTGTTCTAGATGTAGGACATCAGCCTTTACATTTAATTGTACAGATAGCATCCCATTACAGGTAATTGGGCCTTTAAATTTTCCACTGCTTCCCCCAGCCTGGGGTTACACAAAACAAGGGGATTTTCCAGAAGATGGCCTGATCCTACAGACTCCTCTCAAATATTGCACCACAAATGCTTTCTCCAGAGCCTGCCTCTCCGTCCATGAAGAGGGTTCCTGACTGAGCTTTTTGTTTTGACCACTGAGTCATCAATAACCTTCCCTTTCTCCTGCTCCAGACTTCAAAACACCCAAATATAGAGGCACAGAAAGGTCCCCTTAATCCCTAAAGCCACCCTAATCCCTAGTCCCCCAAGTGAGCTGTCGAACCTCAGCAGGGCCCCTGACTACAGTCTGAAGCATGATGGGAAGGAAACAGGGTGGGGTGCTGTAGGCAGACTCTCCTCCTGTCTGTCCCATGTGAGCCTCTACGAAAGGGGCGGGGAACAGAGCTGCAAAGAGCAAGAGAGAATAAGACAGCTCTGAAATCTCAAAGGGAGGCTGGGAAGGGGCGAAGGCTCCAGAGACTCTGCTACCCCCAACATTGGGGCTTCATTCCAAACGAGGTTCCAATCGCAGTATCGTGAGACCCCCTTCCCCCCCCCACCCCCGCACCGCAGCACCAAGACTGGGCATTTCCTTCAACCCCGGAAGGGGCACTGAGCAAGGAAGGGGTCAGGACCCCGTTCTGGCCGAGCTCTGCTCCAGCTTGCACGGTGTCAGCTAGTAGAAGTCAGTAAGTCATAAGGCCCGTCAGTTTTCCCTTTCATAACAATGGAAATCACTGGCCCTTCCCACTCCCTAGAGTGCCGTGAGGGTGGAATGAAAGAACTCTTTGAAGGGGACAGGCAGCATCATTTCCACTCTCCAGTATGTTTGAGTTAAAATACAGTGACGCACGTCCCGGTGGGATATTCCTTTTTTCCCCCCAGGTGGGACCTTCCCAAACGCACTCAGCAAAGCCGTGGCTGCACACCGCAGGTCGGAAGAGTCAGCCCCCTGTGTGCAAGCCGCCCCGCCAGGGTAACTGTGAGTGAACTGTGCCTCCACTGCTTCATCTGTAGATTGGGAAGAACAGTGCCCGCTGCTTTGGGTTGTTTTCGGTATTAAATGAGGTAATACACGTGAAGGCTTAGAGTGGCCCCCAGGAAGCACTAACTAAACGTCATTAATATAACTACAGTTCAGCTGTAGCAGAGAGAGGGTGAGGAGCAGCCGGGGAGCCCCGAGGCCACCCCGAGATTCCTTTCTCGATGGCTCTTCTGCTAGAAACAGAACCTTGCGCGTCTCACTGAGATGCACCACGCCGGGGCGAGCACTGTCTCTCACAGCTTTGTATGGGGCTTGGACCGCGAGGTGAGGGACCTGAGACGTGAGAGAGGCCCCCCGCCCCACCCTGACAGCAGAGGCTTGTCACCCTGCCACCCCACCCGCGGCTCCACTTGCTTGCAGGAGGGCCCGCCTGCTCCGTCCCCGCCTGCGGGTGCTTCCGCTGGGCTGTGCGAGCACGAGCTGCTCCCTGGTGGCTGCCTCCCTCTTGGCTGGGCCTGAGAAGCCCAGGACACACAGCTGGGACAATCTGGGCCACAACCACACAATACTGCCACTAGGCCAAACTACTTCCTCCTTCTGGTGCTATCCAGAAAAGTGCAATGCCATTTACTGAGCACACATCATGCATTTCCAAGAGCAACAGAATCAGAGGGAGTCCCCGGTGCCTAGAAACTCACAGTTCGAGACATGTTAGTCACTTAAATTCATGAATCAGTATTGTCAATACTGCCATTTGCTCACCATACTTAAGAGAGCAGAATAACCTTTTCTTTCTTTCTTTCTTTCTTTTTTTAACTCCCAGAGAAAAAATTATCCCTAAATGGTTTTTCATTTTATGAGTCAAAGTCTGGTGCCTGTTTGTGAACCAAGGGGGGGTTTGGGGGTGGGCTTGTGGATCTGGACTCTGACCCTTTCCCAAGGCTTGAATGAGAGAAGAAGAGAGTGAATGCACCCCAGAGGGTATGGACTCTGCGGTCTCACGACACCACTATTTCAAGACACTTGAAGATTTGAAATGAATGACTGAAGACGGGACCAGCACAGGGAGAGGCTCCTCTCATTCCGACCCCTTCGTAGACATCAGGATGGCTGAGGTGCCTGGGAGCTTTAATGCCTCCTTCCAGAAATGATGCCCCCTGCTGGCCCACAGGCATGTGCTAGCACTCTCACACACACACACACACACACACACGCACACACGTGCACGTGCACACACACTCTCCTTCCTGGCAGTGCCTCATGTAAAACTCCACAGTGTTTAAACCAAAATGCCTGGACACCACAGCTCCAGGCTTCTGGCTGCCCCTCCACACGAAGCCCCCAGCCCCACAGTCGCACCACACCACCGCCCTTCTGGGACATCAGAATCCACTCCTCCCTGCGCCACCGCCCGCCCCCCACCCCCGCCCGGAGAAAGGAGGAGTGAAGCAAGTGTGCCAGGCCACTGGTGTGCTGGCTCATTGATTATGTGGCAGCTTCACTGGCTGAGCATGCATATGTGCAGGTATTTTCAGAAGCAAAGTGCTCTCTATATGTGAGTGCGCCTTGCAGGGAGAGCCATTGGGTTTGAAGGATTTACGAGGTGGAGCAGGGCCTGCCAGCAGCGCTGGGGATGAGGGATGTGTCAGGGCAGGGCGGGAGGGTGGGGGAGGATGGGGGTGCAGCCCTGTCCCAATCCGTGGAATCCATGCGGCAGGCCCCACCCCAGCCCAGCCGCTCTGCCCTTGCCCCTGACGGTAGCCCCTTCTCAGTCCCTCCTTTTCCTTCTTCCTTCCCTTCTGTTTCTCACTGCCTCCCTCTCCTGTCTCTTCATTTTTCTGCGGTTCCTTGTCACGAGGAGCATGGTCCATGGACCAGCAGCAACAGCGTCACCCAGAGGTTGTTAGAAATGCAGACTCTCAGGCCTGCCCCAGACTCCTGAGTCACAGTCTGCATGTTAACAAGATTCCAGGTGAACTGAATGCACCTTAATGTCTGGGATAGGCCACTGAGTCTCCTCCTCCTTATTTCTTCTTTTCCCGCCCTTAGCCTTCCCTCAGTCTTCCTCCCACACCTCCCACCCTCTTTTTTCCATCCTGCTCTCATCTGCCCTCTAGTCTGTCCCTCTTTCTTTTCTTTTCCTCCCTGCCTCCCCTCCCTCCTTTCTTTCTTTCCTTTCTGCTTCCATCCACCCACCTACCCTTACATCCATCCATCCACCCACCCATCCTTATATCCATCCATCCAACCAACCATCCATCCATCCATCCATCTGCCCACCCACCCTTACATCCATCCATCCACCCATCCATCCA